TCAGTAAAAACGAGAGAGGGAAAAAAAATCAATTGTCGGTAAGTTTGCAATGGCGATAAACAAGGAATGGAAGTACATGGGGTTGGAAAAGTAGGCGGGAAAATTAAATCGAGAAAATTGGAGTCAGTAGCGTCGTTCATTGTTCTGCCAGGAGACGTTTACTAGGCCTCGTCTGATTAAGTGGCTTATTGGATTTAAACAGGGATTATGGCTTCAATATTGGATTAGTTCTTCAATTTAGTATTCCCATTTCGATCAGTGTTCCACTCGGCGGTAACTGAGGCAATGTCACAAGGGCCGACCTCAAGAAAAATTCTTACATAGATAGCTATAAACAGACTGAGATAGATAGATAGATAGATAGATAGATAGATAGGAAAAGACTGAGATAGATATGAAGAGACTGAGATAGATAGATAGATAGATAATGAAGAGACTGAGATAGATAGATAGATAGATAGATAGATAGATAGATAGATAGATAGATAGATAGATAGATAGATATGAACAGACTGAGATAGAGAGATACATAGATAGGAACAGACTGAGATAGATATTAACAGATATTAACAGTGAAAAACGACGCTTGTCTCTACATTTAAATGATAAATCTAACATTTATAGGCATTTAAAACAACATGCCTGCCCACGTACTCAATTCCGGAAAATCCTTGTTGACAACACAACTATACTTAAACATGAAAACAATAAACAAAAATTTAAAATTCTTGAAGCTTTATACATAAAACTGTTGAAACCTAATCTGACCAAAATAAACTATGAAATCTCCACAAATCTCCTTAAATGCCTATAATTTATAACAGAAGCCATTGGTTTACACCAACGGCTTCCCATACTTAATACTTCTCATTTTTCACTCTCGCGCGGTCATGTGTGACGTCACGAGCTGCGACGCGATTTTCGATTCTGCGTCTCGTATATACGGATTTGTCGTTACTTGGAAATTTTCATGCAGCAAGGGCGGACTATCATTGTTGTTTCGTCCGTGTGTTGTTTGATTTATTGAAATTGTTATCTTTGATAATGGCTTATATAAGCCGAAAGCTTAGATTAGATTTAAACATGTATCAATAGGGTGTTTTGTCTATTTATTTTAAGTAAGTTCTTTTCATATTGTCTTTCATATCTATTAATAACATTATCATTAAAAAACGAAAGGAAATCACCATATTGATATATGTTTAACCAAACTAAGCTTTGGCTTACATAAGCCATTATCAAAAGATGACAAATACATTTTAATATATCAAAACAATACACGGACGAAACAATAATGATAGTCTGTTTTTGTTGCAAAAATTTCAAAGCAACGTCTAACCCGTGTATACGAGACGCGAACATGCATTAATATATATATATATATATATATATATATATATATATATATATATATATATATAGAGAGAGAGAGAGAGAGAGAGAGATAGATAGATAGATAGATAGATAGATAGATAGATAGATACCGATTTTAACAGTAAAATTGTATAAATTATGTAACAGCATAATTGTCCATCCCACAAAATATTTAAAATCTAAAAACCATTAAACTAATTGAGTTTCTTTTTTCCAGGATTTCAGATAAGACGTTTAGCTATCTTGACACCACTTGTATTAATCACTGAAAAATCCTTTGAGTTATTCAGCTAGAAAGAGAACGGGTTAAAATCATTCTGTATAAGCCCCACTGTCTTCGCAACTGAGCAATGGTGAGAGGAAAAAGACATTCAGGCCTTCAGTAATGGTACCAACATTCATACTCTGGCTTCCATCTTCAAATTTTATTCAAGAACCATCAAGAAAACGAAGAATAATTTTAAAAAACAGAGGGAAGAGTAGAGAGAAAAACTGGATCAGGAGGTCACAACAGCAAGAGGGATCATCATTTCAATTTAGAGCTAAATATATTTTTACTGTTCAAACTAGAGTCTAATATTGTTATAAAAACCTCGGAGAATTCCAGTAAGAAATCTTTAATCATTTCTAAGATAGAACGGTTCAAGCCTTAATGTAGACAATTTTACTGTTACACAATTTGGACTACACAGGGTATATATATAATAAAAAATCTTTTACGCTTAACAAAACAAATCGACCAGTAAATTACTGGAGGATAATGCATTCCAGGCGAGCAGACGTTTGCTCAATGTTAAAAATAGACCAACAATAGTAAGGGGATAGCATGTTCAAAACCAGATATCTTTTAAAAAATACAAAAGATTTATCCCATCCTGTCAAGAGAAGGTGAGTCATCTGAGCATTTATTTATTTATTCACTCAATACATTCATACAAGTTTGTTTAAAGACTTTATATATATATCCTATATACTGTATGCGACCCCACGCCAATTTTCACTTATAAAAAATGATTTTATCATGTATCTCATGTATGATTTGAGTTCCTATTTTGAGAGACCAAATTACAATAGACTAACCTCTTTTCCTCTATCTCTTTATCCCATCTTCTAGTTAAATAAGTTCAAAACTAACAGAGAATGATAAAAAGCATCGTTATTAACGCTATACTCGTTGCGTAAACGCGTACAGCCATAAATAACCAAATGAGAAACAGCTAAACATCTTATAAACGTAAACAATGGAAAAGATTCATATTCGCTATGTTTGTATTTTATAATTCGATACTAATATCTGGATATTACATGCATTATTATTGGATATAGTTAAGTAAGACATCAGTTTTATCAAAATCAAGTTTATTTTAAATACAGCTGGACTTTTTGAATACAGGAAATGGATAAATAGTTTGGTCAACAGCATAGCCAGGGCAAGCAGTACCTACGCTCATTCGATATCTTGTGTATGATGCGACCCCATTAAAATTAGGTCTTCAAAACTTGTATGTTCCTTCCTTCCTTCCTTCCTTCCTTCCATTCATTATCTATCTATCTATCTATCTATCTATCTATCTATCTATCTATCTATCTATCTCACTCTGTTTTTATCTATCTGCCCTATGTAATCGCGTATCATGCGAACTTTGAAGACCTAATGTTGAACATCATTTGACTACAGTAAACGGATAAATGGTTTGGTCAATATTAAAAATTTGATATATATATATATATATATATATATATATATATATATATATATATATATATATATATATATATATATATATATATATATATATAAATAGACATATATATATATATATATATATATATGTAGGTTTGTCTGGCTCACTAGGTTTGACGTAGTCTGCTCTACGGTTGTATTGAGCTCTTTTTAGTTAGTTGTTTACTCGTGTCGTTTTTTTTTCTTTGGGCTTTGAACCTGTATCTCTGCGATTTTTCGACAGACTTTCATGTTCCTGGCTCTTTCTTTTTTAAAAAAACTTTTTTCCTTCGAGATTGATTTGATTATTGGCAAATCATTCGAAAGTTTTCGAGACGAGTATAGTTACCTATATATATATATATATATATATATATATATATATATATATATATATATATATATATTTAAAGTTTAATACTATTATGACATCCGTAGGCAGTACTGCTTCACAGTTCTTCAAACGACTAGACATCCGAATGCTTGCCAGGACAGAAACCCGACTGGTTTGGTATCAGTCAGAATTTCACTGGCTTCATTCAACTGAAGGAAACAAGTAATTTTAGCGTATTGTTTTTACGAATGTAAACAAATGCCAATCAGCCAAAGTGCTCCATTCATTTTTGAAGAGCTTTGCATTAGCGCAAGTGGTTGTTGTTCATAAAATTAGCTTGTCGTTTAACACTGCTCAATTAAAAATATTTTATCAAGAGCTAAATTACTATTCGCATACAGTACTGTTTCACCGTGTCACAGCTCCTCAGTGCATATATATATATATATATATATATATATATATATATATATATATATATATATATATTTTTATATACACACACATATATATAATATTAGGTTTAAATTGGCAAAGATTCTCTGGGTATTTTGGGGTCAAAATGGGTATTTTAAAGTAAAAAATACAGTTTTGTTTGTTCAAAACAGTTTAGAAGTTCTGTGCTATCAGACTTCTATATTTATATATATATATATATATATATATATATATATATATATGAAGAAATATGGTTTTAAGGCGTGCTATATTTAAAGAGATAGAGCGTATGTAAATATAAAAGTGAACATTGAAGTCAACACTCCAAGCGACTGAGTACTTCATGATAAACCCAATCAATAGGCTAAAAAATGTTAGATATTATATATATATATATATATATATATATATATAGGATATATATGAAGTCAATAACTCAGAGGCGTGATCGTTAGGCGGCCTGACGATTGCGTCTAGCATGAAAAGCCTTTTCGCCTCTGAGTGTTGACTTCAGTGTGTATGCATATGCATATATATATATATATATATATATATATATATATATATATATATATATATATATATTTGGCACAGATAGACATCCATGCGTTCAAGCATACATACATACGCAATTGTAATGTGGGTCTGCGCCTAATCTCGAATTGTTTATATTGGTGTCTTTGTGCGAACTTAAATGTGTACACCTGTATATAGGTACTTATGTCTGTGTGTGTAAGGGCGCTATCCCAAACGGACAAAGGAGAAATTCCCTCTCCCACCACCAAACAGGCGTAAATAGGTTCAATTTTTAAAAAATAAATGGGTTTGTCTGATGATCGCAAAAGCGTGAAACCCAGGGTCACAAACTTATGTCCATAAAACTAAATATGTTTGCTCTATCACTGATATTGAGCGCATATAATACTGCGCATATAAAATAATATATATATGTGTGTGTGTGTACGTGTGCGTGTGCGTGTGCCTGTGTGTGTGTATTGAGAGAGAAAGTGTTTGAATATGCATGTGCAGGAGTGGAGGCTACGTGCAATTGCTGTCGTGCTAATGTTCATCTTGTAAGATGCTGCTCAAGAATGGCGTAGTAGTTGCACTGAACGTCTTAACTGGTGACATCTAGACATGACGAAAATGCCAAAGAAAACTACTAATGTGACAAGGAGGGCGAAGAAAGAAGAGTGAGTGGAAGGATATAACGAAAGGAAAAAGGAGATAAAGAAATGAGTGTTGAGAAGGAGAGGTTAGAAGGCGAGAAGGGTCAGAGAAAAAGAAGAAAGGAAAGAAAGAAGGAAGAAAATGAAGAAAGGAAAAGGCAAATTGAAAAGAAAGAAGGAAGAGACAACCAAAGAAAGAAAGAAAGAAAAGTAAAGAAAGAAAGAAAGAAAGAAAGAGTGCGTGGAAATTCAGGATGGAATAAGACAAAAAAGAAAAGACGTAACGAATAGAAAGAAAGAGGAACGAAAGAAGGAAGGAAGGATTGGAAAAAAGCAGAAAAAAAGAAAGGAAAAAGACAGAAAGAGAAAGAACGAAAGAAAGAAAAAACAAGAAAGAAAGAAAGAAAGAAAGGAAAAAGACAGAAAAAGAAAGAAAGAAAGAAAGAAAGGAAAAAGAAAGAAGGAGAAAGAAGGAAAGAGAAAAAAAGAAAATGAAGGAAAGAGAAAGAAAGAAACAAAGGAAAAGAAAGAAAGAGAAAGAAAGAAAGAAAGAAAGAAAGAGAAAGAAAGAAAGAAAGAAAGATAAAGAAGGAAAGAAAGAAGAAACAAGAAGGAAGGAAGGAAGGAAGGAAGGAAGGAAGGAAGGAAGGAAAAAATAACAAAATAAAAACAAAGGTGGCTCAAGAAAGAAAAGAAAATGAGAAAAAATGTTTGATATTTCTGAACATTCTGAAATGGATATATAGATAAATAGACAGATAGATATAAACAGAATAAGAAAGAAAGAAAGAAAGAAAGAAAGAAAGAAAGAAAAGTAAAGAAAGAAAAACGTGACAAGTTAACATAAAGAGAAAAAAAATTAATTCAGAATGAAAGAAATGGAAAATAAACCAGGAAGAATCAAAAAAGAAAGAAAGAAAGAAAGAAAGAAAGAATGAATGAATGAATGAATGAATGAATGAAAGAAAAAAGAAAGAAAGAAAGAATGAAAGAGAGGAAGAAAGAAAGAGAGGGAGAAAGAAAGAGAGGGAGAAAGAAAGAATGAAATGACTAAAGAAAGAATAAAAGACACGAAAAGAAAAGAAAAAGAAAGAAAGAAAGAAAGAAAGACTAACCGGTTACCCATAAATTCTCACTAGTACTTGAATAAATAAAAGCATAAATTTTTCCTATATTCATATTTCTTAAACTTTCTACCTCCTGGCACAAGGCTAAATATATGCAGCACCCATTGAGAATCGAACTCACTAGTAATCACCCTCCGCAAGGCTCGCTTGTGAAACATTGCTAGACGGATTCGTCAGACACAAGGCCAAAATTGAGAGCTCTTTTATTTAAAGATCTACTGTACTCTCAGTTGTAATAATTAATCCCCGGTTAGAGATTTATTGTCATATTTACTAAGGATGGGCTATAACAGAGAGAATCGAACTCATATCTTCAGTAATGGCTTTGGCAACGGACTCGCTGTCTAATGCTCCACGGTGTAGAGCTTACGGTGTTTTCTATTATTAGATCAGCTCGTCACACGATCAAACGTCTGAGGCGATTGAAGTCATTGCGACCAGTTAACAAGATGAGTTTATTAACAACTACAACAAGGATTGGTTTTGTGTGGCAGGTTCGATGCGCAAAGTAAATGATACGGGAGGAAAGTGAAATGGAAAAGAAAGAAAGAAAGAAATAGATAGATAGATAGATAGATAGATAGATAGATAGATAGATAGATAGATAGATAGATAGATAGAAGGATGGCAGAAAGAAAGAAAGAAAGAAAAGAAAGGGAAAAGAAAGAAAGAAAGAGAAAGATAGAAAGATAGAAAGATAGAAGAATAGAAAGAAAGAAAGGAGAAAAGAAAAAAGAAAGAAAGAAAGAAAGAGATAGATAGATAGATAGATAGATAGATAGATAGATAGATAGATAGATAGATAGATAGATCTGAAGGGACTGACAGAAAGAAAGAAAGAAAGAAAGAAAGAAAGAAAGAAAGAAAGAAAGAAAGAAAAGAAAGAAAGAAAAGAAAAAATGTAAAACAAAAAACAGAAAGCAACGAAAGATTTACAAGTGAGAAATAACCGAAGAAAAAGAAAAAAGAAAGAAAGAAGATTTCGCGTTAAAGAAGTGAAGAAAATTTGAAAAAATAAAAACGAAAGAAAAAAGAAAGAAAAACTAATTAATCAGGATGAGGCAAAAAGAAAGAAAGAAAGAAAGCAATAGTATAAAGAGAAGAAAATGAAATGACAAGGAATTAATGGCGGAAAACAGACAGGTATCAAGTTCATTGACAGTCAATTGATTGGTCGCCTTAGATACCCGACAACACAGCAGGGAGTCAGTCGGATAAAATAGGAAAAGCCAAACAAAACAAAAGCAACGAAACGAAACGAAACCAAACAAAGAAAAACACTGCAAGCAAATGTCGGAAAATGATCGAAAGACACAGACAAGCAGAGGAAAACATGCGGACAGACAGACACAACGCGAAGCTTGTCTGGTAATAAAGATGAAAACAAAAACCCATTTGATATCCCGCCATTTGCGGAACTTATGGATTCAGACAGACACACTTGTAGGCTTCCGTTACTACGACAGAGAATGCAAGTAACTGATATTGCGTATGCACGGGCCCAGCCTAGTGTCCCAAGTATGCAACACAGAACGAATCGCGGAGCATGCGTAAATAGATGCGCCCACGAGCCAAACAGCGAAAACTGCCGGTAGAAATTATTGAACGAGTAATGCGACGCGCTGGAGGGGAAAAAAAATAAAATAAAAAATAAAACAACGCACGCGTGATATGCGCTTTGCAATGGCAGGCTATAAATATGCTCTGTTTTTGAAGACGTTAGGTGCAGTTGCATAAATAAATACCCCAGGTTAGCTTCGTAGAGAGGAATAAAGGACAAAACTGGCAGAGAGAGAGAGAGAGAGAGAGAGAGAGAGAGAGAGAGAGAGAGAGAACAAAGAAAAGTTATATTTACGTAAGATCGAAGACCTCGGGAAAGTATTGGTTTAAAAGCACGCATATACTTAGAACCGCGATATTTAATTGCATAAATATGGATGCACACAAAGAGTCAATACTGAATGGAGAAAGAAGGAGACACACAGGCAAACAAGAAATATACAAGGTGAATCAAAATTATATTAAATCTAGTATAAGAGGAATTATTTATTCAGAGTTTACTGAACAGTCTCCACCTGTCCACCAGCAAAAACCAGCGATCAACAATACAATTTAATGCTTTGACACACATTTCACGGGGAATATTTGATATTACACCTTTTATTCTCTCCTTGTGTACTTCGATGTCTCTAACAGTTTTTGCTATACACGCTAAACCTTTATCGTACTCCTTAACCAGAAGTCACCGGGTGTAAATGGCCGATATTTCTTTACAACTCCAACGGTGACTGTAAATGGTTACTTACAAATTCTGCAAGAGTTTGCAATTGGTAACATACCCCCTACAAATCAGACGAGCAGGTTATTTCCATTTTACTCGTAATGTTCGCGCTTGTATCAGTCAAAGTTTTCCAAATTGTTAGATAGGACATAGCGGACCATTGGTATGGACACCAAATTCCCTGATGTGAAACTCTTATCTGAAACCCTCTCAATATAATTTTGACTCATCTTCTCATAATAGTGTTAACATAATTTTGACCCACCCTGTATATAAAGGGTGTTTCATTAAGACGGATCAAAATCAGCAGTAAATAAATCAGTGTTATTGGTGAAAATTTATTTGTTTCTCTATTGGATCATGTTATTTAAGTCATGGCAATTATGCGTGAAAAATAATATCACCAAATCTGAAAGAAAAAGAAGAAAGTCAATTGGAAGCTTAAACTTATTTCATGTTTAAAATCGGTCCAAGTTATTGGAATGGCTTTTAGATAGACCCATCATCTGCTCATAGTCTAATGGTTATCGACGCAGAAGGCAAGAATATCGGATTAAAAATCAGTTCTCATACGATTGGTTCTGAGATAGATAGATAGATAGATAGATAGATAGATAGATAGATATGAACAGACTGAGATACATAGATAAATAGATAGATATGAACAGACTGAGATAGATAGATAGATAGATAGATAGATAGATAGATAGATAGGAACAGACTGAGATACATAGATAAATAGATAGATATGAACAGACTGAGATAGATAGATAGATAGATAGATAGATAGATAGATAGGAACAGACTGGGATACATAGATAAATAGATAGATATGAACAGACTGAGATAGATAGATAGATAGATAGATAGATAGATAGATAGATATGAACAGACTGAGATAAGTAGATAGATATCTATAATATTTAAACTTCAATTTGAGTCTAATCAAAGTTATTTCGGGGCTAAGCAAGTTCATATCCAAAATGGGACATAGCAAGTTCAAAATGGATTAGGTAAATTCAGTTTGGGACTGAGCAATTTTTTTTGCTAAAAAAAGACTAAAATTAAATATTTCCATGATAGAATAATAATGTTCAACTAAACTTTACTACTGAAATAATTCATCTTCTAAAAGCAATTAATAAATCAAGAAAATTCATGAAAGGTGTATGTTTTTTGGATACAAATTTCAGCGCTTAAAATCTGACAATCTTTCTTTAAACTCTTGATATTCTTGATATATGCATTCAGCCATAGCCATTTCATAATGTGTGACGTCATTTGTTTACATTTGGATACGCATCGAGCAGATATAATTGTACGTGAAAGAATCATGGAAGATTGTATTTTAAAGACAGTAAAATCGACTCTGTGACCCAATCGGTTAAAGACACGTCAGGCTATATGACGGTTCCGTATAGGATACAGGTTCAATTCCTGTCGGAGGACGAATATTTTCTATGAAAATTTCTCGGACATTCAGGCCGGTAAATGTTTTTTGATACTGTTTATTATAAACAAAGCATTTACTTAAAATATTTGTATCTATAAAAAGTATGTATAAATATAAAAATGTCTTAAAAATGATTGTCGGACTTTGTCTCCCTTCCCTCTCTAAGCTCGACCATGTCTTTCACACCATTACTCATCACCCTCTAATTCAACTTATATAAGCTTAATACTGCCCGTCAAAAGTGTAGATTTTAAATTTAATTTTTTCGTTTCGTCTTTGAAAGTAAAGTCTGAGGATCCAGAGAAAAAGTAAAATTCTCTGGTGAAATAAATTATTACTATGGAGCCTTAAAGTGGTCTGTTTTTCTTTTAAATTTATATATATATATAATATAATATATATATATATATATATACATATATATATATATATATATATATATATATATATATATATATATATATATATATATATGCATATATATATATATATATATATATATATATATATATATACATATATATGCATATATATATATATATATATATATATATATATATATATATATATACTTCATATATATATATACATATATATATATATATGTATATATATATATATATATATATATATATATACATATATATTACAAACATATATACATATATATATTATATATATATATATATATATATATAAATATATTTATATATATATATATATTAATATAAATATATATATATATAATTTAATATAAAAATATAATATATATATAATAATATATATATATAATATATATATATGTATATATATAAAGTAAAATGCTCCAGACAATATATATATATATATATATATATATATATATATATATATATATATATATATGAAGTGCGCAGGTATGGAGAAAAATAGAAAAGAACACGTTGGGTGCATAATCCGGAGTTCCTTAGTATTATGCTCCATTGATTAAATAACAATGAACGTTCCTTCATTATTTTCTTTATTTAATTTTTCTAAGCTTTTTTTTTTCTGGTCTCTTTTTCTAAATATGTATTGAAGTTTACTATTACTATCGTTCAATGAGTTTTTCGCTTAAAGCTGATTCCTAAATTCATGCAATTCTATTTACATGACCAAGCATCTGTAAAAGAAACTAGCGTCACATATTTCAGGCGAAAACTCAATGAAACTCTTCGCTTCACGCTTTGCGATCGTCAGATGTTTAATGGCGTCTGACGATCGCTTAGCGTAAGCAGACAGTTACGATTTGAATCGGAGTCCCTGAACGCTGATTGGTTTGTTAATATCTCTGCGTGTATGCTGATGAGGCTCCCGTGCCCAAACAGCGACAGAAACAGGAAGGAGAAAAAAGAAAGAAAGAGGAGAGAAAAAAAGAAAGAAAAAAAAAAGAGTCAGCCAATTTTATACATTGGGCTAGATTTGTCTGCCTTTACTCATTCACCGGAAATGAGTATGTCGCGAGCCTGGATTTTGTAAGAAGCGAAAGTATTAATTGTTTAAAACTTCAATGAATTATTCTATGGCCGTTGATAACGCATTGATTTCTGACACTGCAACCCTTTCATTAATCAGCTGTCAAGCACATAGCTCCCCCGCCATTGCACATCATTGTGATTGAGGGAGTCTGCTCCACACTATCATTCAAGGTTCACTTGGCGAAGGTGCTTATTCATAAAGACGGCCTTTTCTATCAATTAGATATATCTAAGGTTTGCTTCGGATGACACCAAGCAGCCATAATACTACAAGCAGACAGGATCTAACCCAGAAACTTTGATTTGACAAACATTATAATTATTACTTCAGTGTAGGCGCCCTAAGCACTCATCAAATAAACACATTGCATACGAAGAAGGATCAATACGTCTTTTTTATTTGACTTTGGATGTGAAATTTTTACTGTATTATGTTCGATATACGCGGTTAATAATCACTGTTGAATCAAGTGCATTGACAAGAAAGGAGATCATTTGAAAGATATTTTATGTGTAAGAAGTTTATTTATTGACTTTATTTATTGGCTTTATTTATTGACTGGAGGTTTATTGATATATTTACGTATATATAAAATGCAAGAACCAGAATTTTGAAATATCTAAGCCTGAATGTAGTACGGACTGTGACCGGTTTCTGTTTATGAACAGCAAATTCCGAGAGATTACTTTGTGTATTTTAGAAGGACTCTCAACAAAAATGGTGGAAACTAACTAGAATGTAACTAATATCTTATCATCAACTTTGTCTGTCACAAACAGAACAATCAAAGCTAATCGCCCAGACATTGTGATTGAAGACCACGAAAACAGAATCTCCTTTCCTGCAGACGATAATGAGTCTATGAAGTTCTTCAAAAAATAAAAACAAAAACAAAAAACAAAAACAAAAAAAAATACAATGATCTTGAAATGGAAAGATTTGAAATGAGGTACTTGAGGACATCAACAATTCTAGTTGTAGTTGAATTTCTTGTTCTGATTGGAAAAGGTTCCAATAGATTCATTGAAGGGATCCCTGGTAGCCTATGCCTTAAATAAATAGAAAAAAATTGTACTCACAAGTGCAGCTCACACATTACGAAGAGCTTTATCTATCTGAAATGTGGGTGATTTTAGTTTTTTTTTTGTTGTTTTTTTTACAAAAATGCTCAATGAAAAATGTCATGAATCCATTTCTGACCACGGAAAGAAATGTGTGTACTACAAAAATGAAAGAAAATAATAATAATAATAATAATAATAAATCGAAAAAATGTGGCACATGGGAACATCGACAAACCCTGTTGTAGATGGAGCCCTTGGATTAGTCGGAAAAGATTCCAATAGACTAATTCAAGGGATTCCTGGAAGTCCATGCCTTAAAGAAATACAAAAAAAAATGTTCTCACGCGTACAGCCCACACCTTACGAAAGGCTTTATCTATGTAAAATATGTTTTTGTTTTTTTGTTTTTTCTCCAGCGAAAAATATGATGCCATTTCTAACCTTAGGTCCCTGGGCGGGACCCGGAAAGAAATGAGTACACATCAGAAATCAAAGGAAATAAAATAATAATAATAATAATAATAATAACTCTCATCAATCCATAAAATCCTTGCACAAACTTTATCAATGCTTATTAGTAATCCCAATGAAGTCCTAGAATGGAT